ACCGTCGCCGCCGCCGCCGCCCTTTTCCCCCACCCCCGCTCGGCGTCGTGTCGGGGACGTGCACCTTCACCTCGGACACGACCTGCTCCTGCCAGGTAGTGATCAGTGGGCCCTACCAACCCGATGTGGGCATCTTCAGGCTCGACTGGTACTATGACGAGGCCCGGTCGGTGCTCGGTCCACCCTTTGAACCCCAGGGATTCCTCACCACGCAAACGGAGACGGTGAGCAGCACGCCACACTCTGTCCTTCCCCGGTACACTGACCCAGACGGAGTCACGCAGTACCTGCCCGGCTTTGCGCTGTTCTTCACAAACGCGCCCCCACCACCCTCACCTGCCTGATCTGCTCCCACCATGCTCCTTGCATCATGTACACCTTTGTTGCCGCAATGCATGCACAAGATTAACGGCACAGTAGATGAGTACACTGTGAACACCCCACTTGAGATAACTGATGGGCCAAAAGCATGGCCCTGGGCATACGAGTAGAAGACGTTCATTAACGCCATAGTTGGACGGCGGCTGGGTGCAAAGCGCTCCGCTCAGTCCAACATTAAATCTTCATCCCTGGGCCCCATCTCAGGCTTAGGGGTGGTGCAGCAGCACGTTTATTGACCGCCGGCAGCCAATCTATCCCCCTCTCGACTCCTTGGATGAGAACATCTTGAGGTCGAGGCGGTGTTCAGGGTAGAATCCTTCGACATCCGGCATTGCCCCCTCCAAGCCCCTCGGCTCCCATTTCTCTGACTCCAAGTGGCGGCCGGCAATGCGAGAGGCCTCCAACATGTGAGCCGACTGCCCTCCGTGAGAGTGTCTTTCAGATTCAATAATACATCATGCTCTTGGAAAAGGGACTGCATCGCTGATACGGCGACCAGTGGCCTGCCCGCTGTCGCTAGATTGACGACGGAGCTCACTAGCCTCAAGATCGCCCCACGCGCGATCTCCTGATGATGGACATCCCCTGACGCTCTCGGAGCACCACGGTACAGAGTTTGATGTCTGCATGTCATGACAGGCTTGTTGCCACAGGCCCAATGTAGCGCGATGCCCTTCGCAAGCCACTCGACCATTGTGCGCATGGAGTGTCGCTGCAGCCTCGGCTGCACTCTGGCATCTCGCAGTGTCTCGCCTCATTCCCCGTCAGGAAGTGGGTGGTCACACATAAATGACTATCGAGTGTTCAGATCTACGGCACCGACAAGGCTAGGTCGCGCTTGGGCTCGTAGGGACGATGTTTCACCTGGCCCGCCCATGGGTCCCGACTCCCGGCTAGAGACCCCCGTTCCGAGGGAGCAGAGACCCGTCAACCAGCTGAAGGAGCTGAAGGAGTCTCCACTCCTGACCTGGGTGAGGTGGGGTTGCAACCTGCACCCATGTCGGGCGTTTGCTGTCCCAGGTGTCCATGACATTAGGTGGTTGTATTGCAGCCACAATGAGCTGCCCCTCCCCCCTGCACACTCTACAACCAGGCCACCCTAGATGGCCGCGCCTACCAGCAGCGATTTCTGCTGTTGTATGCCTCCCTCCTTGGCCTGCTTGCCGCACCAATCGCCGCCCAGACGTTTGATCCCGGGGTGCAGGTGGGTTTGGGATGAATGCTTGGCCCACCCTTTGCTGCACAGAGGTGCTGGGCTGCCGTGATATGCGCCCTGCACCAATTCCCTCAATACCCTTCCGTACCCAGCCATTGGAGTTTGCTCTGAGCGCATCCATTGGAGCTACTCTCGTCGTGGCAGTCGTGAGCTTCCGGCTGTACATCACATGGAAGTGAGTCGCGCGGGTGTCGGCATGGAAGGTGGAAGCCGAGTCACAGCTGCGTGCGCAGGCTCTGTCTCTCAACCTGGAGGCCCATTAGGCAGTCATGAGTGCTGCAAGCGCTGCAACTCAGTCCTTCCTCCGTGCTGATATACTACAGGTATGTGTGCGACCGCCTCCTGTCGGCCTCTGTGGACTATGAGGAGTCTGGCTGGTGGGTCGGGTGGGAAATGGGTTGGGAAGGGCGTGCCGCGAGGTGGAGGCAGAACCTGGAGTGATTCAATGCCTGCACGAGCCATCGTCCCCGCCATTTCCACTCCAAGCCACCCTGCTCCGCCGCTGCCCCTGCAGGTATGATGGCCAGATCTTTGTGAAGCCGCCAGAGGTGCTTGCCAGAGACCGGCTGCTGGGCATGTACGTGAGGGTGATTGGGGTCCGAGCCTGTCGGCGGGGCTGTACAGGGGCTGGCGAAGTATGGGAAGTCCAAGGGAGTCTCAAACAGCATCACAGGCCACCCTGAACCCCCACTCTATCATCCCCTTCCCTCCTTCCTTTCCGCCAGGTATGAGGTGCGGCCGGTGCTTCGCCGCCTGCGCATCACTCTCCAGGTTCTGGGAGCGTCCCTGGCAGCATCCTCCCTGGCCCTGGCCCTCCTGACGAGGCAGTGACGGATTGGGCGCACAGGCAGTCGGCCCCTCGAACAGCCACATCCTGCTTGGTAAACCTCTCGAGCCCCAGGCCATCACAAGTACAGCTTGTCTGCTCCCCTGCCGTGCCCTCCATGCATCCCTCACACTTGTTACACCGCTCACTGACGCTGTCACGATCCAGTATGTCCCTGCCGACGGCCTTCCGGCAGGTGCGCGCTGGGTGCGGGTGCCCCACCGCTCACCACCAGAAGGTCGGGTACCGCCTCCTCGGCGCCAGGTTGTTTGTAATCAGAGCCACGGCCAGCATGATGGCGCAGCCACCGGCCACGCCCACCACATAGCTGAAGCCTGCCCACTTGGGGATGGAGGCCGAGGCTGCTATGATGAGGGCGGTTGCTCCGCCTGAAATGATGTGAGGCAGGGAGGGGTGCGCCTGGGCTGGCAGAGATGCAGACTGGGCAGAAGACTCCTCTGAGTTCCAGGGGAGTAAGGGAGCTTGGCAGGGGTGTGATGGCCAGGGTGTGCCCCAACCCACTCTCCGCCTGCACCGCTCTTGCCTCGGGCTGCGCAGTCACCCACCCATCACGCAATGCCTGAGTCCATGCAAGGCTCCTACCCATCCCTGTGGCACTCCCACCCACCTGGCGGGTGGGTGGTGGAGGTGAGCTGCATGCCGGTCAGGGACAGGGCCATGGCCAGGGGGGAGGCCACCCAAGGCACGTGGATGGCATGGCGGATGCCAAGCCCCACCAGCGCGCCCAAGATTTGGCCGCCCACAAACTGCGGTGTGAAGGGGAGGAAAGAACAGAAGGCTGCAGGGCCGGTCTGGCTCACGAGGGGGCCGGAGCCTGTGGCAGCCGCCGCGCCGACATAGGCCCACAATGGCTGGAGGTCATGCAGGGCCTGCAGCCGCACACCCATTCCCACCCAAGCAACCCCGGCGAGCAGGCAATCCCTCGGCGTGGAACTGGCATGCCCCCTTTCCTACCCACAACAACAGCGCACATCTTCCTCACGTTCCGCGGCTGGGCCAGCTTGCTCTCCGTCACGGCGAAGAGGAGCACGGCGCTCGCTCCGAAGCTGCCCACCAGGTACACGATCTGCTCCTCCACCCCTGCGAAATGGTTGAGCAGGGAGATGGCCATGATGGAGACAAAGGCCCCCACGAAGGACCAGAACAGTTCGTGGACATCTGGGATGGGGAGCGCCGTGTCCAGGCCGCCTGCAGGGGGGGGATGTTCGTGTGAACAAAGGGACAGCAGTCGCGGTCCTGGATCCCACCAGCAGCGACTTGGCAGCGGCAGATGCAATCCATCAGGCCAGGACAAGGATTCCTGGATTCAATAGCAACAACATCTCCCCAAGAGGAGGAGGCTGGAGTGCAGGGCATCAACTCGCCATGTCCCGACCAAACCTCCTTGCTAACCTCGAAGCTTGTATGGCAGCCCCCTGAAGTACTCCGACCAGCTTTCAGGGGGAAGCCCTTTGCCGTTTTCTGACGGTGCTGGGCTCTTGCCCGCCCTGCAGAGGTGAGGGTAATGAGTTTATGATTTCCAGAAGGCGACCCCATCGACGGAATAGGGACTGTGCTGTTCAAGACGCTCCACCTCTTTGTGGGACAGTCACACCCATGGCCCCCATCACACTGGACTCACGGTGCATCTCTGGCTCCTTCAATGGAGGTCGCATTGGCATCGAAACCTGGGTCCAGACTAAGATCCTGCAATTGGATTTCGCGGGCGAGGCCAGCCTCGTAGTCCCGCTCCCTCTCGCTGCCGGGGTGGGACAGTTCGCCGGAGTCGTATGCTGTGTGCATAGGTGAGGCCAGGCCATGTCTTTGATGGGCCCCTCGGGCGAGCTCGGACGTAGACGTGGCCATCGCGGCCCCGAAGGAGCGCTGCTCACCCAGGAGAATTTCTGTGTGGGAGTGCGGGACGACGATCTATCTGCGGGATGATCGCAGCTATAGATCACATTTTTGTCGGCATCCGGACATTTATTCACCTCGGCCACCGCCACACAAAATCATGTTCACAAAAAAGCCATTATATTGATAAAATTGAAGACCTGTACAATCATGTCACGGCATGGTAGGCTGTTGGGTCAGCCAGCATAGGCAGCGTTGGTGACCCATGCACAAGGGTCAGCTCCCCCGCCCAGGCATGGGCAGGTCCGTTAGAGGGGTGGGTGTGAGAGGGGCACAGCCGCCGCATCCGCATTCATCCACTCCGCCTCGCGGTCTGACGTTGGTGCGGGAGGCAGCGCCTTCAGCGCGGGCTCCGCAGCGCACGCCCCCCCGGCGCACGGCTGGCAGCCTGCCAGGTGCGTCGTGGCCTCCATGAGGCTATCGGCGGCGGCCTTCGCCCCAGCCACCGCCGCATTCACGCCCACGCTGGTGAGGACGCCCACCTCCCCCGCCCCGCCCAGCTCGTGGGTGATCTGGGACAGCACGTCCGCCTTGCCCAGCTTCAGGGCAGCCACCGAGATCTCCCCGGCCTCCTGTCCGTGGCCTGTGCAGGTCGCGTAGGAGGGAGAGAAAGGGGATGAACCCTGGGAGCTGGGGGCGCCACACCCGATCCTCCCTGGAGGCCTGGTAACCCACCCCGAGCCAGCATACGCGGTAGCGGAAAAGCCGATCTCTCCTCCCGCATCACAACCTGTTACTCCAGAGCCAGTGCAAACCCACCTTCCGCCACCATGGCTCGCATGATGTCCAGCACCAGCTCGTTCTGGCTGCCCTCTACCAGCTGGTCCGTCACATCGGCCACCTGCTCAGCGTGCTCAGCGCGCACCGCCGCCACAATGGCCTGGCTGAGCAGCTGCGCCACGGGGTCGGCGCTGGCCCAGCGCATGCGCGCCGCGGCGTAGAAGGCGGCCGCGACCGCGGCGGCCTCCCGGGTGAAGCCGGAGACCAGGAGCTCGATGGACAGGCGGACCACGATGTCGGAGTTGCCCCCCTCCACGGCCACGCAGCAGAGCTGGCCCGCCTCGGCGGCGCTGCCGCGGTTCACCATGGCCACCACCACCTGCCGGGAGAAGGCCAGGGCGTTGAAGGCCAGCAGGATGCGGGTGGTGGCCACCATGGCGCCCGCCGCGCCATTCCTCACGGCTGTGGCGATGAGGGCCGCGCTGACGGACACAGAGGCTGGGACGTGGGGCGATTGGAATCGGAGTGTCGCCTGTGAGGAGCATCCAGACCGATCTGCGGACGCGTGCCGGTCCCACACCCCGGCTCACCGTCTCGAACGCGGTCGGGCAAGCCCACCCCCACTCCGGGCGCCCACTCTAGGGACCCATCGTCCACGGGCCGCGGCAGCGGCTGATCCTCCACCCGGATGACCGTCTCCTTCATGATATCTCGACCGCTGTCGGCACGGTGCCTGGTGAGGAGCCTGGTGCGCGGTGACCTGACGGAAATTTCGACCGTCTTTATAGGGGACGGGTTCCGAGCAGCGCCCCGAATGAAGCCCCTTGTCCCGCCGATGGGGACAGCAGTCAGGAGCATGAGAGGGAGGAATGCATGTGTCCAATGGTGTCAAAGCAATGATCTATAATGAGTTTCTCCGGGCAAAAACGGAAGGCGGAAGCTGGGCAACCCCTTGATGGAACCCATGTGGGTGTCGGGGGGTGGTGACATGCATTCCACGGTGCAATACAGCACATGCAGCCATGAATCACCCATCCTTTCCGGCGCCTGCCGCTGCGGCAGGTGTACATTCCACGATCGGGCATCCGTTTTGTCAGCACCAAGCTCAAGGCATGGAGGGCTGGCATGGAGCGCCTTGGAGGGAGGGTGACTCAGCATGCTCAGGACCCAGGCATCACGCATGCCCTTCAAGAGGGCGCGCCAGGCACCGACACCAAGCTCCTGCTGCAGCAGCGGCCTGGGGTGACGGCCGTGACACCCGCTTGGCTGGAGACCTGCCTCCTGCAGGGTCGCCGTGTATGTGAGGCCAGGTTCCTCCCAAATTTTCATGAGGGTAGGTAGGCTGCTCACTGCCTTGGGTACAGAGCTGGTGGGTATTTTGGAGAGCACTCTGCCTCTCTCGGGAGTCTGTCCCACTGCCGCTCCAGTTCATGCTGCGGCCGAGAGTGAGCTCCATGATGTGCTTCCGCTACACAGGTAACCACAGCTCGAATGCAGAGGCTGCACGGCATGGACAGATGCCTGAAATGAAGGCAGAGGCTCGGGGCACTCGGTACAGGAGGACTTGGCTGGGTCCTGCGCTGTGGCGAGCAGAATGCGCCGATATGACACTCAACGAATTCATGCTGCAGGTAGGGGCAGGGCCCAGGGGAAAAATGGGTGTGGAGTGCGACACAGATTTGGCACTTGCATCTGCAAGTTGAAATGACTGTGGTGCAGCAAGATGTGGGCGTGCACATGGCATCATTTTAGCATGCCACAGGTGTGCGTCGTGATGCTGGACCAATGTGCCGCCCCTCATTATGTTTCGCCTACTCCTCGCAGGGTGTGTACAACACCGCTCGCTGCCGGGGCATTGGCAACGAAGCGATCGTGCAGGCGCTGCGAGAGCTTGCGGGCTACGAGGTATGGACGTGGGAGGAGTGCGTGAGCACCTTCTGCCAGAAATGCACCGTTGGGGTTGCCCACATGTGCAGCTTTGCCTGGGGTCATTCCCTGTCTTCTCTCATGGGCCTCCCAGGGAGGCATTCAAGACGACTACTTCACCGAGCACGGCGAACTCGTCATCAACCATCGAGTGAGGGGTGTGCTGCCATTGTGTGCGGGCTCGGATGGACGAGGCGGGGGTTGAGCCGGCAGCCTCGTCGGCCAGAAGCTGTCAATGCCACAGCTTCATCATGACAACGCAGATAGTACGGTATGCCAAGGCAGCCACGGCGGTGCAGGGGTGTTCCTACAAGTTGGAGGGCAGGGTCAGGCCTGGACAGCTCCCGTTTGTGGGACCAGCAACGGCTGAGCAGATCTCTGACATCATCCGGACGGGAACATGCGATGCCCTGGTCAAGTTCAGGTGAAGGCGCGTTTGACTCTGTACTCATGCTGCATCCTGTGGGGTTGCGGATTCTCATACTACCATTGACAGGCAGCTGGCATGGTCCAGTTGCGCCCTACCGTCATTGGTCAGCAGGCTGCAGTGAACTCTGCAACATGGACTTCCCCCTACCTGCCCAACACACCATGCTGCACATCATTCTAACAGGGCCAACTTGGTAGTCAAGAACTCGCGGGGAACCCCACGGCCTGACACTATAGGTACTGCGCTACCAAGGGTATTGCGGCATACTGCATCCCACTCCACAAAGGCAGATGTAATGCCTGTCTCCAGGAGCTGCGTCAACCAGACGCAATGCCTTCAACCCCGCAGGAGGTGCCACCCGGGCTGCATTCCATGCCCTGCCTGGCGTCGGCCAAAGGACCGCCAAGCATTGGTGGGATCTGGGGCTGAGGTGAGGCAAGGTGGTTTGGGTTTTGGGTCACATTCAGTGTATATGCCAGCTGGTTGCTCAAGATGAGCGGCCGGGGTTGAGCTGGTGATGGGCTCGGTGTGGTGTTGCTGTGCAGGCAGACAAACAGCAGGGACTTGAGTCCGACAGTCCTGATGATGTAGGAGTTACGAGGACCTGGATGCTGCTGTGGCAGAGGGCGGTTTGTTGTCGCAGGGCAGGAAGGGAGCTCTGAGTGTGGCCCAGCACTTTTCCCTGAAGCACAGGGCAGACCTGCTCCAGGGCACCAGTTGAGTGAAGTGTCTTGTCTGCTTTGTGAGCACAAGCTTGGACGTCTGTACCATTTGCAGCGATTGTCAGGGCTGAGTATGACGACGCACTCCCTCGAGCAGGTGCTGAGGATGTGGCAGAGGCGGTGTCTCGGGTGCTGGAATCCCTGACCAGGTCGAGTGGCGTGGACGGATGGACGGTGGAGGTTGTGGGCGGCGAGGCTCGAGGGGGCGCGGCGCACGACACAGGTGGGACATGTGGTGCTGTCGGCGGGCAGTGCCTGAGCACTCGGGCTGCTGGTGTTGGCATACGCGGCTGGATGCGCTGCATGGTGCTGGTGTCTGACCGCTCTGGGCCCTTTGCTTCTTCATGCTTCTTCACGACACGTTGTTTCATCCTTCTGAGCTCAGCATCCAAACCAGGCCCTCTTCTCTTCCTACCCCCCTTGCATGGCATCTGGCTGCAGACCTTCTTGTCACGCATAAAACAAGGGGTGTAGACCATGCAGTGCAGGGCCTGCTGGATGATCTGGTGGCAAGCGGGTACTTGTTCTCACCCTCAGAGGCCATGTGCCTGGTACAGGTTAGAAAGCGGTCAGCTGCTGTCCATTGTGTTGGCAAGAGGGAGGGGAGGGTGGCGAGCTGGTCTGGCAATCGAATCATGCAACTCACGTGAAACTTCACGGCAGCCTGTTCTTACTCATCACTGGCAAGGGCTGTGATGGGGGCATGCGCTACCGTTCACAACCTCCCCTCCCTTGCAAGCGCAGGAGGGGCTGATGCCCTCGCACCTCGAGCGCATGCGGAAGGACTTGGAGCTGGAGGATTCGGCCGCGCCTGGCGTCCAGAGCCTGGACAGGTATGCATGCTGGCGCAGGGCAGGGTATGCGGGCGGCAGGGACCCTGCGCCCGGTGATGTTGCCCCTACCCAGACTGGACATTTTGTGCATGCGACCGCTGGCCCCTCCCCAGGTTTGACCACATCTATGGCGTGCGTCGCACAGCTGCGGGCAAGGTCCGGAGACTGGACATCATCCTGGCCCCGTCGGAGGAATTTGCCATGGCGCTGGTGGGATGGACCGGCTCCCGCACCTACCTGCGGCTCCTGCGCCAGCATGCCAAGGACGTGGGCATGTACCTCAACTCCCACAGGTGAAGAAAATGGGCGGCGAGCCCTTGCGGTGGGAGGCCAGAGGGTACCAGGCGGCGTTGGACGATTGGGGTGATCTAGGCGCCTGGTGCAGAGGATCACTACAGTGGTGACGAGGAGCAATGCTACAGCCACACACTCGTCATGTCACCTACCAAATAGATGAGCCCGCGATTCAGGAATAAAGACTGAACTCCCATCCTAACCATCACAGGCTCCTGCGCAAGATCGATGGCAAGGCCCGGCTGGTCCCTGACGAGGCGCCTCCCATCGTGAAGGGGGGGCGGGAGGCATGGCCGGTAGGGTGGCACGCAGGAAGGAGGATCCTGCGCCAGGAGGACGTCTTCGAGCTACTCGGGGTGCCATACCGGGAGCCCGCCGATCGAAACTGTCCATAATTGCAATTTCGCTTTGACCTTGTATCTCTTATTTGCTCAATCCCAGTTGTAAGATCCATACATCCGGCTGTGTGGGCATGTCCGGAACAGAGAATTTCGCGTCTGGCGTGATGACTACCCGGTGACCCCATCGGCCTCGTACAGCGGTTACACGCGCTCATGCGTCACAGCACTCCCGAAATACGCGCTGATGACCATTCAAGCAGAGTTTGTATTCGCTGCTGGTATATCATGCGTATTTAGACCCGGCAATCCGCCGGCATGTCGAGATCTGGGGGACGACATTGGATGATACAAACCGCCGGGGTACTGCATGCCTGCATCGGGGGTTGGGTTCCGCAAGGTGTAACCACCATGGCCTCGCAACGCACGTCTGTTGCCTCCATCGCGCCCCTTCCCCCGAGTCATATTCAGTGTGGTATATAAATAATGAGCATGAACCCAGAACTGGCCCTCACGCCCCCCGCCCAGCGACCGTGCCCTCCCGTCGACCAGTAGGCATGTGCGACCCCAGCACCTCCGCTTCGACCAGCGAACTCGCGCTGGACAACCCAGCCTTGTTTTGTAACAAGCGAGCAGCCATGGACGCCTCTCCCTGCGTGCTCTCCTCTCCCCAGCACACCACCCTGGATAAAATCTACCCCCCGCAAAAGTTCCCCCGACTGGAGGAGCGACCCAAGATCCTTTGCCCGCTGCGACATGTGCGGCAGCGGGGTGCTGCCAAACGGGTGCCACCCCTCTCCGGATACCTGGGATTGCTGCCCATGGAGGTGAGGCTTGGGGTCCTGCCAACCGACTGGATCCCTTGGTCCCGACGCGGTGGGGTCGGAACGCGCCCACATGCGCGCGACATGCTGCTGCCCTCAGGAAGATAGTGTGTTGCCGAGGAGCATTGGGTCTCAAACCCCCACGTCTCCTCCATGCTGCAGACGCTGGAGCAGATCCTGGGCTACTGCACCCCCCGCCAGCTCGGCGCCCTGGAGAGCTCCTGCTCCTTCTTCATCGAGTCCGGCATCACCGACAAGGTGGCGATGCACCATCTCTCCTTCATCCCGCGTGCCAAGGGCCTCAAGCCCGACTTCAAGTGCGTGTTGAATGTATGGGTCGGGTTGGGGGGTCCTCGTGCCTATGCGGTCCTGGGGTTGAGGCTGGCATGGAACTCATCGTGTCCCTGCTCCACATCCACTGAGTCACCCGAAAGCACTCCCTCACACCATATCTAACCCCCGTCCGACCCCCCTCCCACAAAATTAGGCACGGCGAGTCGTATGTGACGCTGTACGCGTTTGTGACCGCGCAGTCCAATGCGGCAGCCCAGGGCACGGCCCTGGCGCTGGGCACCTACCACACCGTGGCCCTGCTCTCCTCCGCGGCCGACCGCGCGGCGCACGCCGAGGCGGCCGAGTACGCGCTGCACACCACAGGCCGCGGCTTCCACGGCCAGCTGGGCCTGGGCGACTACGAGCAGCGTCTGCGGCCGACGCGCGTGCCCGGCGTGGCGCGCGGCGCGGGGTCTGGCGGCGCGGCGGCGGCGCCCTCCTCCTCCGCCGCCGCCGCCGACGCGGTGCAGCTGGCGGTGGTGGCGGCGGGGAGTTCGCACACCGCCTCCATCTCGCGCCGCGGCGAGCTCTTCACCTGGGGCCTGGCCTCCTCGGGCGAGCTGGGGCACGGGGGCTGGACGCCCATCGAGGTGTGCGCCCCGCGCCTGGTGGGCTCCCTCCACCGCGTGCGCGTGGTGTCGGTGGCGGCGGGGGCCAACCACACGCTGGCCATCTCGGAGGCGGGCCAGCTCTGGTCCTGCGGGCGCGGGCGGCACGGCCAGCTGGGGCACGGCGCCTTCCACGACGAGGGCGTGCTGACGCTGGTGGAGGCCACGCGCGGCGAGCGCGTGGTGTCGGCCGCCGCGGGGCGCGCGCACTCGCTGGCGCTGGCCGCCGACGGCCGGCTCTTCTCCTGGGGCGACGCGCGGTGGGGCCAGCTGGGGCACCCCTCC